GTTTTTATAGCACACCTAAAGGGGACCTTGATACCCCTTTATATAAAAAAAAGAAAAAAGAAAAAAGAAAATTTTAGTCTTGGGAAAGGGGGGGGGTCCCCTTAAAGCAGTAGGCGTTTGGAAAAATTGATGAAGAAATATAACAAGTAAAAGAGCTTGAATATCCTCTGATAAACACATATTTCTGTTAATCTAGCTGTAAACAACAATAGTCATGTGCAAAGTCGATCTTCTTCGTTGCCAAATTCTTGTTTTATTTTAATGAATAATCAAAGAAATTGATAACCAAAATCTAAAATTAAAATAAAAACAAGTTCCTTAGTTAAACATTTAAGAATAAAACTATATATTTTACTTATATAAACAAAAGAACAGTTGAAAATATTCCATCTTGAGAACATACTTGGTTATGAGGATGATTTTCGAGGTAACATAGCTCGTGTTCACAATGACCACACGATGCATAAATAACCATACCTACTTCGATATTATTGATTATATCGAGACCACAGTGAATACACTGTATATGTTTTGCCATTGTAATAAATTTTAATAGATGTTAAATTATTTTTTTTTGAAACGTATGAAAAACTTGTTTTATTTAGCGACAGAAGAAGAGAAGATGTCAATAATAAGATCCTTTTAAAGCGGCAAAGGTTATTTAATTAAAGATTATCAAAGAAAACTTATTCTTGAAGATTATCTTAATAGGTTGTTCGCGTAACAAGCAAATTCAACAAAAAAAACACCTTTTTTTTTCGAAAAATTCTTTGCATAGATAAGAAAGAACAATGTTTACAATAACTAAAAGTCTACAGAAAAAAAGACAGATTTCAATGCTTCAAAAAATTTCATCAAACGTCAGAGGACTGCAAAACATTTCAACTACAGAAGTTGTAAATAGGATCGGTACAGTTTAGCATTAGTTCTGATCTGTGGAACAGTTCGAACAATTGATGCTCTTTCATGTGGACCGTTGGAGTAGTTGTTTCTGTTATTTGATCTGAAGTTTGATTTATGAACTGTCTAAACCGTTATTGTAAACACTTTAAAGACTACAAAAGACTTCTAAAGACTTAATAACAATTTCAGAGACTTCATAAGACTTAAATGTACTTCTTAAGACTTTGATAGGTATTGAGTGACTTCAAGATTTCATTAGACCTTCAAGTCGAAGTCTCCGCTGTTTCTCTCTAGATACAAATACTAATAAAATTGTAGAATACACATCTATACAAAAAAGAAATTACAGATCCTTGCTACAGAAATAATCTCATATTAATGTACACTTCGACTTGTTTTGTGCGTTATTTTATAATCGACAAATCGCATTATTGAGTACCAAAGATTTATAATCCTATGGTGTCATTTTTAGAGAAACAGAAATCAATCATCTTTTTTTTTGTAGAATATTGCACAATGGTGAAAAAAAAAATTGAATATTATGAATTTGTCTATGTGAAAAATATTGGAATTTGTTAATTTTTGGGATTTCTTATGTAACATTATGTTTTATAGGTGATGAAAGAATCCTATCAAGTCAATATATAAGGTATTCGTTATATTTTCTAATCTTTTTGAATGTTACTTTTCATAAATTATTTAATTGCAAAATCAACATGTTCCAAATTTTCATCCGTTTGTAGGGAATTATATTGATGCAATTTTTTTAAACTATACTATCCTCTTTATTGGTAAAATAGAAAAACAAAATAACAGATCACCATCAAGATTTTAACATAATAGGAGTTATTGAGGTTTTATTTTTATGTACAAAAAAAAAATAACCTTGATTTATTTTAAGAATAATAGTGTCATAGATTAGTTTCTGAGTTTTATTATAGACACACAAATTCCAATTCTGATCAATTTGGATTTTCTGGATTGATAAAAATTGCTTTAATTTAAACTTGAATATGATTGAAGTTGGAATTGAGATTATTTGAATTTGGTTAGAATAAGTTATTCTGGAATAATTGATTTCATACATAACTGGAGATATTAGCCGTATGGCTGAACTGTAGCAGTCACTATTTCTTTTTCACAAAAAAAAAAAAAAAAAAGCTCTAGTGAGTACAGTTGATAATGTTCAAAACATGAGAAAATTTCAGTTTGCCGTTGCTGTCTAATAATGAATTCAGTTATGTCGTACCCAAATGCCTAAAAAGAGCCAAAGACTAAGGAATCACTGCTTCGACATAAAAAAAAACTTTTTAATTTTTTAAAAATAATTAATATTCAGAATTAGCTCTTGGAAATGTTTGTCGCATTTAAAAGAAGGTGAAAAAAATTTGTTTTCGATCAGTTTTTGTCATAATAAATTAGTTAAAATCAAATGAAAACTCTCTGTAAACTGAAATGAGTCTTTAGCTCGCTCAATTGAAAAAGATATGTAATTTAAAAATTGTTTATCGACATTTTCCTTCATATGGGTAAATATTCTTGATACAGTATCTGGAAATGTTTGAAAAAAAAAAAAAAAAAAGTGTAAAAACATAGGGTTAAATTTACAGATTGGCATTGTGAAAAAATGTACGCAAGATATTACTTTAAATTCTAATAATGCTCAAGAAAGAAAATCCAAAGGTTATAGTTCATGCATCGTGGTCACCTCGGAAACATCGCTTGTGAATTTTCGCTTATACTAGTAAAGATAAGAAAACAACAAATGATGATAGTTGATAATTTTTAATTAATTTCCATATATATTACTCTGAGAAAACATGAAAAACGTTTTAAAGTTTGATCACATGGTGGTTGAAATTGTCATGCGAACAAATATTTCAAAAGAACGTACGATAGAAAATCATTTGCTTCATTACTTTTTATAATAATATTTCACTTTAAGAAACTTATAAGAGATCTTCGTTCATGTCATTGATTCAGAAATTTGTTTTGTCTATAAGTATAGAAAATATGAAAGCTGTAAATAATAATTGCAGTGGCAAGGCAGGAAGGCGATGTTAATGTTTTCTAATGGAAAATATTTTATTAAAATAATTATACAAAGTTTGCATGTAAGAATGCATATCAGTAACTCATACATTAAAGCCTGATGTTTCTATTCTGTCAGTCGTACGTGATGATTGTCTTAACAGAAATGAACTTTTGATTGTATCATGTTCTATGACTTGTTATTCAAAAATGAATCCACCATTTCGTACAATACGAGCTTCAATATTTGTTGAATAAATATTCCGTAAACAAAATCGATTTACATTTTATCGTATCAATTGTAGCTCATTCTATCTTCCTTAACTTTCTTCTCACTCACAAAGATGATAGTGATATTGATAACTGCAACTCTTAGTAAAAATCAATTAAATTTTTTTTAAGTATAGAAATGAATTTATTATATCTTACCTACAACACTATCGATTCTGAGTGTTTTAGAAGAAAAACAAAGAGAAATTATTTTACATTGAAGAGCATGTTGTAATTTCTATTATTCTAGTTTTGTTGGTTGTTTACAATTGTAAATCGTTTAGTAGGGTATGATAAATGTCATTTAAAGTACGAAATTTTGATTCATTTATTTCATAAATTTAAATAATGCAATTACATTTGTTTGTTTACCTTAAAAGATAAGTGTCTTATGGTAAGAACTTAAAATATGAATCTAATCTTGCTCTGCTTAATAATATTCTATCGTAAATTTTATCTTTTTTTTTTTTGAAACATTTTTTTTTGTGTCTGTATTTGATCATCTAGTATCAAAAATGGTATTATATTTGACTATTATTAATAGAATTTATACTAAAAGTTTACGTTTTTTTTTCAAATTTCAATTGAAAATTTTGACCGAATAAATTGAATGAAGTTATAGTAATTTTTGATGTGTCGTTAATCATGTCTATAATGAAATTGTTATGGTGTCGTATTAAGCATAAAATTGATCGATATTATTTGTAAACATTATAATATCTTGAAATCTCCATCTAGGCACAAAGAGTTCAGTTGTCTAATTAAATAACAACAATAATTAGTTCATTTTACCTGATATTAATGCTGATGTTCAGTTCATTGATATCGATAAGTTGAAATGTTGTGTCAATATGAATATCAATTTTTTCCTTAAACCAATAGTAATGAAATTTTTTTTTTTGAACTAATATGTTTTTATTTATTATACATGTATCAGTTTGATTATCTGATAAATTGCTATTGATATTTCGATCAATCGAATTATTTATAATAGATCGGTTTGTTGACTCTGAATCATATTATCTTCAAATATTCATAAAAGCATGTTTAAAAAATTTACTGTAAAAAAATTACGCGTCTTATTCGAATAATACTTCATCAATATGTGGTCGATTTGTTAAACGATACGTGAGATTTGCAATTATTGTGTACATATCATAAAACAATATTGATCGTATACAAATGAAATTGTTTCAATGATTATCATTGATAAATTCCATTTTACATTTATGTAAATGGTTTTCCTTTGAATTATATAGAAAGGCGAGCTACTTTAAAAATAATTTTCGATAGTTGTTAGATATATTTTTCAAATTAAAATTTGTGATCAAAACCATGATCAGGTGCGTATGTCCTTCTGATTTTGTTTCTTCATCTGTTTTGTTTATGTTCAAATGTGCGTTTTTTTCTCATATAAAATATTACATCGCTTATGATTATTATTAGCATACGTGAAATTGATAAGTCTCTTTGTTATTGAAAAATGGTTTAAATATAAGGCGATGTATCTGTGAGAAAGAAACAGAATGATTTATTAAAGTCTACTTAAACATAATGAAATTCAGTGATGATTAACTATTGACATTGCATCTCTTGTTTGATTTTTAAAAAAACGCTGCCATTCATACGAATTAAAAATTTGTAGAATCATTGTTTGATATTATTATCTGCTTAAATGCAATCTAAACAAATTAATTGATGAATTTACATCAGAAAGTTCTATAGAAAACAGACAAATGAATATTCATACGATAATGCTGTGGGAAAGATTATTGTTTATAGAATGATCACAAAAATCAGTCTTTATTGGTACATTTTCCACGTTTTGGATGACATTTTGTTGAGCATCGAATGGATAAACGTTGACAAGGACAAGTTTTTGTATTGCATTTTGTTTTGCAATAGCAAGTCGCAGCAATAGCAGAACGTGCAAACATTTTACATGCATGAACAAATGAAACTGTTGGCGTGTTTGTTTTATCGATATTGAGAAGAGAATCTGGTATTGGATTCGTAAGTGGTATCAATTGATGAACAGCGAATAGAGTAGAAAGACGACCATATGGACTAATAAGTCGATATGAAGGTATTGCACCATGATCGACACGTTCCTCAATGAGACATGGCATTAATTTAGCATCACAATTAGTTCGATCGACTTTGTCAACAGGAATACCGATCAAATCACCTTTGCTATATAAATTCGCCATGGTATTAAGATATTCATCATAAATTTTTTGCCGTTTGCTCTGTGATTTTAAATAATTAATACGACCTGATTCACGAATAATATCATGTCGACTATAAGTCATTTTTTATCAGATAATTTTTCAAAACATTTCAACAAATACCTTTCATCGATTGTTACTAGTGGTCCAAACGTTTGAGACGAAGACGGAACATTTATAGAACTAATACTTCTTTTATTAGTAGGACTTGAATAGGTATCAATATTCGCTAAAGAAAACAACATGTCTGACACAATTCAATACAAGAAAAACGTACATTTCGATCGTCTAGTTGATTTCATTGAACGAGAAAATCTAATTAAGAGTGAACGAGATTGTGAATGGTTTTTCGATTAGATAAGTTTGTTGCTGTTGTAAATGATTCGATTTCAAGATCATCGATCTGTACAGGTCCTGATAATGATGCTTGATGTACTGCTTGCCAATGATGGCAATCACCCCGTGGATCTTGTCCAAATACTAGTTGATAAGGATCTTTTTTTGTAATGTATGGTGTTTGAGTATTAATAGAAAAGATAACCGGTTGAAGTCCTTCAGACCAGTGTATTGTAGCATGACTATCCATCCACTTGCCTGGATTAGACAAATAGATAGATAATAGGATATATGGAAAAAGTTGCATAAGTACTATCTCATATGATTGAACATCTGACATGAGAAGGGTATTTTTGAATAAATGAAGAGAGAAATGAACAAAGAAAATAAGAAGACTTTGTTGAATAGAAAATCACGTTTTAGTATCGCTTGTAGAACAATAAAAAAACCGGCAGGATTTTGAAATAGCCATAAAATAAACTTTCTTATTGCATGAAAAATTTTGGTGTAATATAAAATATATTTCAAATTTTTTTTTCTATACAAACTGCTCATTTATATTCAATAGTGGTGATATTTGCTATCAATAAACAATAGTCACATATAAAAGTTTGATTCTAATTTGATACACGGCTGGCATTTAATTTAAAATAAAAAAAAAAAATTATTTACCAAGAGCATCAGTTAGAATTGCGTTTGCACGCTCTATAAACCCTTGAGACTGTGGATGCCTTGGTCTTCCATGTACAATGTGCATACCTGATTAAAAAAATTTAATTTAAATATGTTATTATGCGAATCTGTGGCATAAAATAAATTCTTAAGAATAAGCGAAAAATCTTCTCCTGAATAGCAAAAAAAGTCAGCATCGATTATTCAGAATGCTAAATTCATCATGTATAGCAAATCATCACCTGAGAAGTCATTTTGAAGGCTATTCATCAAATCGTTCACAAATTCACGTCCGTTATCGGATTGTAAGATACGAGGTGGTCCGAAATTGAAGAAAATGTTACGTACAATAGAATAAACCTCTCTCGCTTCTTTTGTTTCTAATGGTTGAGCCCAACAACATTTAGTAAAATGATCTTTAAGTTGAATAATCCATTTGAAAATTTTGCCTGAATCCACATGATCCGGTCGACTTCTCATATCAATAAGATCCATTTGTACACGTGTCATAAATTCTATATATTAAAAACAAAATGTTACTAATGTGAAATATATAATGATGAAATTCAAAGAAATTCGTGCAGAAGAAATCGTCGACATAAACGATAGTGAATTAAGATGATATCATACTGTTCACCAATGGTTTTTTTTTCTCTTTTAAAAATCTCAATGTATAGATTACGACCTGTGCTTATAAATAGTAATTAGAGCAACAATTCTTTTATAAATCTTCATTGAATTGAAGAGAAAATTTAAAAAAAAAATTATTTAATATCAACTGAAATTCTTAGAAATTAAATAAAGGAATATGCATTCATCAAAAAGGAAAAATTAGTTTCATGTATAAATAATGAATTACAAAAAACAGTTGATGCTTGGTATATAGAATGAATACATATTTAAAGTAAAAAAGTAAGAATACCTAAAACAATGATAGGTTTTGAGACTATTTTTGTCTTAACTGATTTTCGAGTTTGACATGCTGAGCACTGTGAGATAAAAATTTGTAATAATGAACGATTTGTCCAACTGTAATTTGCTGCAATATATTCGAGATAGTGGCGGGCCACCACGAGGCAATTGGTGGCAATTGTTCCACGCAAAAAAATTTTAAATCCAATATTTACTCGTTTATTTGTTGACTTCTGTAAGTGAATCAAAATATACACAATTAGTAAAAGTATCTGTACATCAGCGACACCCGATAGGGAATCATTAATATTCGTTCAGATAGAATTCAATTAATGATGAAAATATTCTTGGAGCTGTTGTATCAATGGAAAAACTCCTTTTATATAAAAAATTTCTTAATGAAGATGAACTTCATGA